ACACTAGCTTGGTCCAGCACTGAGGGTGGCAGGATGCTGCCGGTGGCTCCTTCTTCTTCCTCCTCTTCCTCCTCACTGCTCAGCCCCTGTGAATCCTCTGCAGCACGCTCCGGCTCCCCTTCTCCACCAGGCAGCACCAGTGTCGAGGTCCCCACCGAGGATGGGGTTTCAGGTGCCACCAGCCCCTCGGGGTACTCCCTGGCACTGCTGGCCTGTGGAGGGGTGGGTGAGTGGGTGCTGGGTCCTTTGGGACTCCCAGGCAGGGACTGCAAGGCCACACTGACCTTCTCACAGCTCCCTGGTCCCCAGCTGCTCGGCCGCTTGGGTCCCTCCGGCGTCAGCAGGTGTATCCCAGCCTGGGCAAGAACAAATGCGGGGTGTCATGGACTGGGGCTGGATCCCCCAGCTGCTCCAAGCATGGCCATTGCCAGAGGTGACACCTGGCCAAGCCACGGCTGAGGATCCCACAGTGACCCTGGGAGCAACAAGGGGTGCCCTGATGGGGATACAGGGTGTCCTGGGAACAATGTGGGTGCCTTGGGAAGAACATGGGGTGCACCAGGAGTGATACAGAGTGCCTCAGGAGCAATGCAGGGTGCCTTGGGTAGCACTACGCAGTGGGTGCCTTCTTCCCTAGAGTTTGGGTGGCCGGAGTGGGTACCTGCTCCTCCTGGGGCTCCTCTGGCAGATCCCTGGCCCCAGGCAGCTCCTCCTGGCCATTCTTGCCCAAAAGCTCCTCCTCCTCTTCTTCCTCTTCCTCTTCCACCACGCCCTCAGGTGCTGCCCAGGCTCTGGGGTGCTGGGGGGGCTCCCCCTCTTCCAGGAGAGCCCCATCGCTGCTGGCGTGCTGCTCGGGGGTGAGCACCAGGCTTAGCACCTTGTACTTCACCCAGCAAGCGACATGCCAGGGCTGGGGGGCACCAGGCACCCCAACCCACCCTGAGCCACGGTCTTACCTTCAGCCCTGCCAGCCAGAAAAGAGAAAAGCAGAAGTTGTTGGGGTCAGCACTTCAAAATTGTTCCCTCCTCAGCCCCTGGTCCCCCTCCACCCGACCAGCTCACCTTGCTCGCCCAGCTGCCGCAGGATCTGCTTGGCGGGCTCTATGGGGAGAAGCCGGGCATGCAAATTACATGATGGTGGCGTTGTCCCCACATCCCTCAGACCATCCCCAGCCCCACCAGTATCCCCAGCCTGGCAGCCAGCCCCCCACCCCAGCTGGGGTCCCCAGTCCCTGCTGGC